CCTAAACCAGTACTGGTCCCATCCTACCCGCTACCACCTCTCTGCGTGTCCCAGGCCATGCTTCTTTAGCAAAGCCTGTCCAACACCCAGGTGCTGAGTGCCACCCCGCCCCCGGCAGACCCTCATAGCACATATGCATTTCTCCATTATGAGCAGGCAGCATACTTGCATTAGTCACCAAACTGACTATTTGAAGGGTCGTATCACAGTTCTTTCATTTCCACTTAGCATCTAGAAAAGGACTCTCAACTTTCTTTTAGATGGGTAAATTAGTCATTGAATTCAAGTTAATGCAAGGCTAACTTATGCTCAGAAAGTTCTAATTTAAACTGGGGTCACAGCCCTTCCAAAGTGGGGGGCCAATATCTTGAAGTCTGATCCTTTCTCTTGTTGAGGCAGGGGGAGGGTGTGAGAAGGGGGAAACCTGGAGCAAAGATGACAGAGCTTTTTTCCTGACATCAACTCAAAGGGAGAGGATGGGAGTTACTGTATGGACTCTCAAAAGGGGGGACAACAGACCCCTATCACTCACAAACTCCTCACAGATTACCAACTGCAAAGCAACTTGCTACAACAGGGGGATTCCTTTTGAAGAGGTCATGCCAAAATCTGGTCATGAGGCTTTTCCATGTGAAGGGAGCAAAGGGGGTATCTGGGGATTGTCCACGAGAATCTGGGGATGGCTCCAACCGCACAAACAGCTGTGGGCCACAGAATGCTTGCTCAGCTCGTTAGCACCTGCTGCTTACAGTGACCATTCATCCAACAGACTGGCCGTGAACGAGATGATGGGATCAGCGGGTTCATGCCCCAGAGAGCTTTGCTCATCATTAACATGAGCTAAGTCCTGTTCAGGAACCATTCCTCTTGTTGAAGAAACACTGCAGTGTAATATGATAAACATTTCCCCATCACGAGTGGAGATTTGCCTAGAAAGATCGGCACAAAGGTGGCTGCATTTTGCATGAGTCATGTGCTGGGGAGGGGTAGGCAGCACTAAAAACTAGTCCCACTTGAGCCTTCAAGTCATCGTGGCGTATCTGCCTGCTTCACTATAAATCTCAAAGGCCTCTGACGTCTGCCTTTCGTAGTTTAAATCCTTCCTTCTTCTCAAGGGTGGAATTACCTGTTTATAATGCCAGTGATTACTACGCACCTTGGAATTGGGTAGAGAGCAAGCACGCGTTTAAACATCTAGTTTGGAGGGAATTTCCCCTACCCTCAAAGTCAAATTCTGTTCCCCCCTGCTACCCAAAATCATGCACCTCAGCCCCTGGAAAGTTGGGAATGGCAGCCAGAGGAAAGCAAGTCGCATCACTTTGGCCGATGTGAGAGGGGAGCCTAGCCCTGGAAATTCCACACAAACTCAGAAAGAGAACAGTACGTCCCCCACCTCCCACACGTCCACCTCTTCTGTTCTCCTGAACAAGCACAAACAAGACACAGCAGTTTAGTACGCTGCTTCTGAAAGCGTGAGTAATGGGCTTCTAGGAAAGAGGCCAGTGGTGGCTAAGGAGAGCTCACGAGGTTGTAGTGACAGAACCAAAGGATGGAGGCAGCCATGTGCTCGCCTTGATCTGCGTTTAATGGGGCTATGACTTTAAAAGGAAACAGCCAGCACCCTGATCCTATTCCCCCCTTTTAAAAAAGCACAGTGGAAGTCCTTACCTATACTCACCAACAGCCTGCTGGATACCAAAGCTGCCAGTGTTACCTTAGGAACCCTTCTGGGAATCTACTCTCTCTCCCTCTGTCCTTTGTCTGCAAACTCCTCTCCTCCAGGAAAATTCCTGGGCCTCTCTCCTCCAGACTTCTTCCTCGGCAAAACTGAAAGAATTCTGCTTCTCTTTCAAAGCTGCTCTTCTGGTCTCACACTCTAACCTTAACAACTGTAGAGAAGCTCACGGAACCTGTTCCCATAAAACAAACACAATCAATCCCTCCCAGTTACTGGTATAACTCGGTATATTTTCATCCAAAGACTCCTTCTGGCACCTGATCTGAAGAGGGAGGCAGCGTGGAAAGAACCTTGGACTTGCTATCAGGAGAGCTGCCACTTACTGGCTGTGAAACCATGGGCAGGTTACTTTGTTTCTCTGAATCTCCTTTTCCTCAATTTCTAAACTAAAAATTTATTCTCCTTACCTATAATAGTCTCATGGGGGATGAAGTGTCTGATATAAAGTGTGTGAACACACACAGTGCTGTCTCCGAGGTCTACACTGTGTCTGCCTCTTTTCCGCATGGGGCCTGAGTAGTACTTTTTTTCCCCCTTTAATGTTACTTCTCAGGCCTCTGAGTGTTTCCTTCCCTTCACAACATCTCCCCAGAAGGCAGCCTTCCCCTTTTCCCTCACAGTCAACCCACAGCGCGTCCCCTCTAACCAGTCCCCCCGCGCTCCCCTCCTCCACCACCACATCCTGGGCCACAGTTCTCTCACCTCAGGAATCTCTTCTATTACTAAGGCTCTGTACCCCAAACACAAATGCTTTCTAAAAACTCTCGAAGGCCCTCTCTGGAAGCTGAAAGGAGACAAACTGCTCCCTAGTCTGTCCTGCTGCGTGCCATGATGCCTGCTGCCCTCTGACGAAACCATAGTTTGTATGGTGTTACATCATCTCTATAGAAACTGCGTTCTTTCTCCATTATTAGCCTGTTTCCTCATCGGTAAAGCTAAAAATACTTACCTCACAGGCTTGTTGTGAGGATTATTTTAGTCAGGTATGCAAAGGGCACACCATAGGGCTTGGCTTGCTCTAAGTACCCAACAAAAGGCAGCTATTATCTTTGTCTTTGTATTGAGTTGCACGTTTCTATCCCACCTTCTGCTGTGGCAGGAAATTCTCCCAACCCTCCCAAAACTGTGGAGAAGGAGCTGCCCCCCCCCCGCCGCCGCAGCAAGGAAAGGGTTAATCTCTAAGTGTTCTTAACTAGAGAGACCCATAGAGGATTAACAGCTCCACTTCAGTGACTACCCTAAAATAGCTTTTATCCCTCCAGCCCAAGAGCTACTTGGGGATCTGAAGAACTCAATTCAACACCTGCCGAGGAGGAAACACACCCGGGAACACACCCTGGAACGTTCCTTAGGGTGGACAGAATCTTCCCTTAAGCAGAACCCAAAATAGCAACTAGGAAATTATAAATAGACTGAGAGAAAAAAGAAAAACAAAAAAAAACACAAAAAACCCAGGTCTTGATCTGAGCACCAGAAACAAATCCAAATGACACACTGACTGGCTGGAAAACAGTGAGAAGGAAAGGGGGGAATGGGAAGAGCTGCCCCCCTCCCTCCCTCCCGCGCACACACACTCCAGAGTGGTGGGAGAATTAAATTACAGGGAGGCCAGAGAGTTTCAATGACTTGCATCATTCCAAGAGACATCAAACAGGATTAACAGGGGTTGGATTTACTCTCGGGCTGCTAGTTCTTCTGTCACTGTAGATGGGCCCTCTTTGCAGTCCCTTTGATTCACTCTTTCCTCCCATTCCCGCTGCCTCTCACTCCTGAGGAGGCCTTGAGCAAATGGCTGCAACTCACTACAGCCCCATTTTCATTATGAGGAAACCTGGTTGGACACCCCCAAGGATTCCCCCCAACAATGGAGTGGCCTCATTGTGGGGGGCAGGGTTAGAAATCCAAGGCCAGACTATCACAGTCCCAAACTAACAGGTGGAAAAGCATATAAGCGAGGAGACAGGCTTCTCTTGCAGGTGAAAGCACCAACAACCCTCCCCCACACACACTAGTTGTCCCCCTATCTTCCACCTTACAGGTCCCTTTCCCCCACCAAGCTGGAGCGGGAGCCTGGGACTGGATTTACAGGGAATAACCAGGCTCCTCGGGCAGCTTCTAGACCACTCCACTGTGTGGTGGGAGAGGTTCAATTCCCCTGGAGCTGGAAGAGACGGGAGTGGACGCCTGCCAGAGAAGGGACAGAAATTCAGGGAGAAGTCCGGAGGAGGTCTCAGGGATGGGAAGGAAGGGAAAGTATGATAAAAAATCATTAGCAAGTTAACTGAGTCTCTAAGGGACCGGCCCCTTCCCTCCCCCCCGCAAAAAGAAAGAGATGGGGGATTATACGGGCTGGAGGATTCCAGGGGTTGAAGATAGTCAGAAGTGAATTCTCTGAATTTCAATGGTCTCAAAAGGGTAACCAGATGGATGATATCTAAGGTTTGGGAGTATGGTCACCGAGGAGGGAATTATAGGTAGAGCTTACTGGGGTTCTCCAGAACCAGATATTTAACGGAAGCCTCAAAATGGATTATGTGATTCTGGAAAACGAAACAGAGAATAAAAAACGGAGTATTTGGAGCAGGAAAGGGGGTTATGTGGGTCCGGGTAGGCGTGTCTGAGGGGAGGGAGCAGGTGCAGCTTATCTGCGTCCCCCAGACCCGGGTCCCTGGTAAGGTCAGCAGCGCGTTATCTGGGTCTCCAGGGAACCTAGGGGTCAAGAGTAAGGGACCCTCAGGGCTGAGTCTCCAGGTCTCGGTAGGGAGGGGACGGACCAGTAGGGTTTCTTCCGGTCCCCCGACCCAGGTATCGGGTCCGCGGAGAGATTTCGTCACCCTGGGGCCTATCGGGGCCCGAACTGGCGTGGAAGGGGCCCCCGGCTGGGGGTGTGGGCGACCGCGCCGTGGGGCCCGAGATGAGAGGCGCCGCCGCTCCGGGTGCCGGGCGCGCGGGCGCAGCGAGACGGCCTCCCGCCCCGCTCCCCGCCGTCCCCCGGGGCCCTCGCCGGCACTCACCGCGCTCGGGGCCCCGCGCTGCGGGCCGGGCCGCGCTCGGGCTCCGCCAGGCCCGTTCAGGCCCCGGTAGTGGCGGCGGTCGGGCCATTGTGCGGTGCATTGTGGGAGCCGCGCGAGCGGGCGCTCGGGCCGTGGAGGGGGCGGTGCCGCGGGCTCTCTATGGTCCCGCCCGCCTGCCGGCTAGAGCGGCCGGGGCGGTGCGCGGGCAGCGCGCGGGGACCGCCGGGAGCGGGGCGGACGCTCTCGTCCCTCCTCTCCCCGCCTCCGCACCGCGGCGCGCTCGGGCTCCGGAGCCGTCATGGGCGCCGCCGCGTGGGCATCGTCCCCCCTGCCGCTGCCTGTGTCTCTCTTGCTGCTGATTCTGCCGCTCCCGGGGCTGCCCGCGGGCTCCTGGGACCCGGCGGGTTACCTGCTCTACTGCCCATGCATGGGTAAGGTCTCCCGAGCCCTCTGCTCGAATGGGGAAACTGAGGCCCAGAGAGGAGAAGGCCCTCTTCTAAGGCGCCCAGAGATACCTTGACATGTCCAGGAGAGAACCCCAGCGCGGGGCATGGCCTGCTCCTCGCCTTTCTGCCTCAGTTGCGACGGCCCCGAGGGGCCTCTGTGTCCAACCTTCCATTTGGCAGATGAGGAAACTGAGACCAGGAGAGGTTATGTGTCTTGTGCAAGGTCTAAGCCAGCCCAGAGTTCAGTAAATGGAGTTAGCGGGGCAGGAATTGATGTCACTGACTCAACGTTGGCTCTGGACGATTCTTTCATCGTTCAACAAATATTTATAGGACCCCTACTCTGTGCCCGGAACTGTTTTCTGTTCTGGGGATACAGCAGTGGTAAGACAGAAAATGCCATGCCTTTGTAGAACCTTCATTTTAGCTAGGAAAGACAGACAATAAAAGATACAATAGACGATACGGACAATAAAAGATAAAAAAAAAATGAGTAATTATACATAGTATCTTAGAAGAGGATGAACACTATGGGAAAATAAAATAGAGAAGAGTAATGGAGAATCTAAAAGCTGCAATTTAAATGGGATGGTGGATTGTCACTGTAAAAGTCATTCCTTCTTAAAACCCTCCAGACTCCAGACCCTGATGATTTGGCCCTCTGCCCATCATTACTACCACTCCGTTCTCCCCAGATCCTCCAGTTGTAGCCACTCTTATTCCCTCTCTGTTCCTCACACATTTTCAGGTTCTGAAACCTGTGCTATTCCCTCTGACTGGAAAACCTTCCTCTTCACTTCTGCCAGGTCAACTCCTTCCCATTCTTAGGTCTCAGCTTAAATGTCACCAGAAAGGGCTTTGCTGACCTCAACACAAATAATCTCCACCTTACTGTTCTCTATCACCAAGCTTTTTCCATTTCTTCCTTGAAATGATCAGAATTTACCACTATATACTTGTCTCTCTAACTGGACTGTGAGTGCCTCGAAGGCAGAGACCTTATCTTTCTTGCTGAATCCTGTATTCCAGCACCAAACAGAGAGCCTGGCACATTGTGGCCTCTCAGTATTTGTGGAATGAATGAATGGATGTCATGCTGGGGCTAACGAAAAGAATCAGACAGGGTCCTTGCTCCTGAGGTATTCACAGGCTGAAGAAACAGCCAGTACAAAGGCCAGGAAGTGGGAAAGGACATTTGAGGAAAAGCAAAGAACCATAAATAGTTCCAATCCAAGGTGGGAGGCAGAGGAGGGGATTGAGTATAGCAGGGGGTTGATGAAAGGATTCCAGTGAATGAGGTGCTGGAGTTGCCCCTTCATGCACAGATGAATGGAGATAGAGGTGGAGATAGAGGTGTTCTTTCACCCTTGGATGAAAGAACAACAGGAGCAAAGGCATGGGGTCAGGATGGGAGGTGGAGAGCATATTTGGGAAATGGCAAGGAACCTAGAGCGGCTGAGGCAGAAGGGTAGGACTCGAGGGCCTTGAGTGTTAAACCCATGAGTCCAGACTTGATCCTATGCTGCCAGCTCCCCTGGCTCTCCTTGGTGTCCTGGCCCTTCCCACCCCTGGCCCTGCATCCTTTCCAAATCCTGCATGCCCCATGCCCTCGGTGTCCCAGGCCTCACCTCAACCACCATATACCATCCAGGGCGCTTCGGGAACCAGGCTGATCACTTCTTGGGCTCCCTGGCTTTTGCAAAGCTGTTGAACCGCACCTTGGCTGTACCCCCTTGGATTGAGTACCAGCATCACAGGCCTCCCTTCACCAATGTGAGTACCTCCCCTTATCCATCCTACCCCAGTCCTGTACCTCCTCTTGACACCCAGTCCTTCTCTGGGTTTTACCTCCTGCTCCTCTGAGCCTTCCCCAGTCCCCACCCCAAACTGTCTTCCCTGGCTAACTGACTAACACTTACCCAGTGCCTTCTGTCTGCCAGGCACTGTTCTGAGCACTGCATGAGGACTAGCTCTTTTCTCCCTCATCACATTCCTATGAGGAAATGGGCTTCAAGAGGTTAGGGAACTTGCTCAAGGTCATACAGCTTGTGAATAGTAGAGCTGGCACTCAAGCCCATGTCTGTCTGACTCCAGGGCCTATGATCTGAACCTAAAGCTCCATTTCCACCCCTGGTTGGTCCCACCCTCTGCTTATCCCATTAGGGATATCAAAGGGTGATGGATGCTATTGTCAGTTTGAAGGAGAAACTGAGGCACGGGTTAGTTAATATTGTGTTCAGGGCCACCAACCCAGGCAGTCTGGCTCCAGACCTGTCTCGCCCCATCATGGTGATACTCCACATCCTCTAATTCCTTGCCTTTTCTTTGTGTCTTCCACTGATCCTATGTCTGTCTTTGTTCACACTGGATCCCCAGGGGCCTGGCAGTAGGAACTGAATTAATCTAATGAATTGACTCTAAAAGTTTTTAATAAACTTTAAAAAATTATATTTGTATGTACAAAAATGTATATCATTCTTATAGCCTTTTCTCTGTGTAGTTTTTTTTTGCTATTATTATTTTGTATGCCTAGATTAAGAGAGGTTTTTTATCAGTTAGAGGTTAAAAGCCAGAGGACCTAGGGCACCTGGGTGGCGCATTTGGTTAAGCGTCTGCCTTCAGCTCAGGTCATGATCCCAGGGTCCTGGGATCGAGTCCCACGTTGGGCTCCCTGCTCCGCGGGGGCCTGCTTCTCCCTCTCTCTCTGCCTGCCTGCCGCTCCCCCTGCTGGTGCACTCTCTCTCTCTCCCCCTCTCTCTGTGTCAAATAAATAAATAAAATCTTAAAAAAAAAAAAAAGCCAACGGACCTGAGATCATAGTTTGGCTTTACTACTTAACTAGCCGTGTAGCCTGGACAGAGTACTTGATTTCTTCGTGCCTCAGTTTTCTCATCTTTAAAAGAGGCCAGTAGTAACAGTGACTACCTCCCATAATGAGTTAGTGATTGTAGCATGCCTTGAATACTGTATGCCTCTCTCTTAGAATCAGTAGTTCATCAATGAAAAGTGCTTAGGACATAGGAAGTCCTCAGTAACTGGGAGCCACTGATGTGCAGATTTTTTGCACTCACTGTTATAGTTTAGACATTGTCTGTCTCCTTCTGCCTTGTTTTCTTTCTCTTCCCTTGCCTTCTCAGCCAAGAATCTTTTGAGTCTCTACTTCTTTCTGTGGGTTACTCAACCCATCCCATTAGGCTCCCCTTCCCCACTGGGACTGTTCTCACAGAGGCCACCAGGGACCTCAGAATTGCCAAATCTAGGGGTCATTTCTTAGTCTTCCATCTATCCTTCTGGGTGGCACCTGGAACCGTGAGCCTCTCATCCCTCTTCTGTCTTCTAAGACATAGTCTGTTCCTGCTTTAGCCTGACTTCTCAGCATTTTTCTCATTGTGCTGTATGGGGGGCTTCTCTCTCTCTACTCACTGTTTAAATGTTGGTGTGCCTTGGGGCGCCTGGGTGGCTCAGTCAGTTAAGCGTTCAGCTCTTGATTTCGGCTCAGATCATGATCTCATGGTTGTGAGATTGAGCCCCGAGTTGGGCTCTGTGCTAGGCGTGGAGCCTGCTTAAGATTCTCTCTCTCGGGGGCGCCTGGGTGGCTCAGATGGTTAAGCGTCTGCCTTCGGCTCAGGTCATGATCCCAGGGTCCTGGGATCGAGTCCCTCATTGGGCTCCCTGCTCCTTGGGAGCCTGCTTCTCCCTCTGCTTCTCTCTCTCTCTCTCTCCCTCTGTTTCTCATGAATAAATAAATAAAATCTTTAAAAAAAAAAAAAAAGATTCTCTCTCTTGGAGCGCCTGGGTGGCTCTGCCTTTGGCTCAGGTCCTGATCCCAGGGTCCTGGGATTGAGCCCCGTGTCGGACTTCCTGCTTAGCGGGGAGCTTGCTTCTCCCTCTCCCTCTGCCTATTTCTCCCCCTGCTTGTGCACACTCACTCTCTCTCTCAAATAATAAAGAAAAAAGATTCTCTCTCTCTCTCTCCCTCTCCCTCTGCCCCTCCCACTACCCCCACCCTCTCCCGTGCATGCGCGCGCACTCTCTCTCTCAAAAAAATAAAATAAAATAAAAATAAAAAATAAATGTTGGTGTGTCTCCTCTTTCTGTTATTAGCTATGTGACCTCAGATGCGTTATCAGGAGTCTGTCTGCCTGGGTTTCTTCATAAGTAAACTGGAGATGGTTGTATTTCTACCTCTTAGAATTAGATGAGCAAGTCCGTGAAATGTGATGAGTACAGCACCTGGCACTAAGTCAGCACTCAATAAATAATTAGTTGCTATTATTACCATCATTTGCTTTGCTATAAATTTCTGTTGAGTCTTGTGGCTTTCACTATTCTCCACGTACCTCCCAATCTTTTCTGTGGCCCAGACTCTCCTCTGACCATAAGCCTGTGTTTCTTTCTAATTCCTAAGCCCTTGAGTCTACTTGGATGTCCCAGAGATACCTCAGATTCAGAAAGACAGAGCTGAACTTGGCATCTTTCCCTCTCAAACCTGTGTCACTTCCTATATTCCCAGCCTTAGTTTATGTTACCTCCATTCACCTGCATACCAAGCCCAGAACCTAGAAGTCATCCTAAATGCCTCCTTTTACCCTCTACTCCACCTTCCTTTACCTCTGCTAAGCTGTCCGTGCCTTCCATCTTCACTTGGACTTAATGCTCAAAAATACATGTTGAGTGAGTACTTGAACACATAGAAGGACCATTGTAGTAACCTCCTTATTCCTCTTCCTACCCTGATCTTGCCGTCCATATGTTCTCTCCTCTGCCACCAGAGTGATCTTTCTTAAAAGGCAAATCTCTTTTTACTTCTGTTTGAAATCCTTCAGCAAGGGGCACCTGAGTGGCACAGTCGGTTAAGCATCCGACTCTTGGTTTCAGCTCAGGTTGTGATCTCAGGGTTGTGAGACTGAGCCCCATGTAAGGCTCCGTGCTCAGCTTGGAGTCTGCCTGAGATTCTCCCTCTGCCCCTCCCACTCATGTTTTCTCTCTCTCTCTCTCTAAAAAGTAAATAAATAAATCTGGGACTCCCAGGTGGCTCAGTCGTTAAGCATCTGCCTTCGGCTCAGGTCATGATCTCAGGATCCTGGGATCGAGCCCTGCATTGCTTCTCCCTCTCCCACTCCCCCTGCTTGTGTTCCCTCTCTTGCTGTCTCTCTCTCTGTCAAATAAATAAATACAGTCTTTAAAAAGTAAATAAATAAATCTTCACAAAAATAAAATCCTTCAGCAAGACCTTGTTGCTAATAAATATCCCAAATTCTGTTTGTTGAAATGCCAATGGCTCATGAAGGAAATCAGTTTGGGAAATTATATTCTCAATTCCCCATCCTCCAAAATTGGAGATTCAAAATACACATTAGCATACTGAGAAGTTCTATAGTAAAGAAATCAGCTTAACGCAGCATTTCTCAGGTCTGTTTAACTCTGGAGCCTTTTGATTGCAGATTATCCCCATGAACTAGTGGAACATGCTTGGGAACCCTGACCTATAGGATAAAGTCTAAATTTTTATTCCATGGTGTTCTAAGAAATTTTTTTAAAATCTAGAAAACTAGAGATTAATATAACCACCGTCCACGTACCCACCTCTAGAAGTGATCATTATTTAACATTTTCTCTTTGCTTCATGTCTTTTTTAAATAAATAAAATAGTACAGATGAAGTTGTTGAAAGATAAAGTCTCACGTGGCTCCCAAGGCTAGTCTCACTCCCTCCTCCCGGCCCCAGAGGCAGCCACTGTTGTGAACATAATGTCTTCTCCTTCTGAGGTCTCTCCTGTACTTCTGCTGTGGCACTGAGCATACCTGAACCCATCTCCCATGCAAAGTGGAAGAGCTTCTCTAGGGAAAATACAGAGAGGTGGAAGGAGCATTTTAAATTCTAGTAGATGCTGCAATATTACATTCTAAAGTGGTTGTTCCAGAATGTACATTTCGACTACTAGCCACATACAGCAGCCCCTATTTCCCCACTTCCCTTCCAACAATTAAAGTTAAGCTTTTAAATCTTTGCTGGTCTAATAAGTGAGAAGTGCCTTGTAACTGTGACATGCTTTTTTCTAGTTGTGAGTTTGTACATCTTTTGAATGTATTGGCTATGTGGGTTTTCTTTGCTGTGAGTTGTTCACTTCTGTCCTTTGCTCACATTTTCCCTTACATCATTTGTCTTTTTTCATCTAGATCAGCAAGCATTTCTGAACACAAAAGATGTTACTGTTTCTTCGTTAGTTTGCAAATAAATTCTCCCAGTCTTTTTCTCTTCTAGCTTTGGTGTCCTTTTCCAAAAGTTTTTCATTGGCTTATAGTCTGAGCTGTCTGGGTCTTGGAGTGTATGGTTTTAATGAATGTCTTATTAAAAGAGCCACTAGGATACTGAGGAGGGATCTCTGTCTCCCCTTCTGCACCTTTTCCTGTATGTAGCTCCATGTGTCCTACCAGAAGTACTTCAAGCTGGAGCCCCTCCAGGCCTACCATCGAGTTATCAGCCTGGAGAACTTCATGGAAAAGCTGGCACCCACTCACTGGCCCCCCGAGAGGCGGGTGGCATACTGCTTTGAGGTGGCAGCCCAGCGAAGCCCTGATAAGAAGACGTGCCCCATGAAGGTGGGTCTGGGGGACCTTTTCTGCCTGTTCCGTGTCCTCTAGGCCCCTGAGACACTGTGACAGCAATATGTGGGGAAAGGCACTAGAAAGGTTAACATAGAAAGATGGAGATTTAAGTCCTATTTCTGACCTCTGTCAGCAGTGTCACTTTGGGCAGAGGACCTTCATTCCTCTGAGCCTTTATTTCTACCCGAAAAAGAAAGACACCAATCCCTGCTCTGTCTCACTCAATAATGTCACGAGGGCCAGGTGCAAGAGTGCTTATAAACTGTAAAGTGCCACATGAGTAATAATAATTTTTTTTTTCACACCAGGAGAGAGAATGGGGGGAGAGGCAGAGGGAAAGGGAAGGGAGAGGGAATCTTAAGCAGGCTCCACTAGCCTGATGACTGGGGGCTCAATCTCACAACCCTGAGATCATGACCTGGGCTGAAATTGAGTCAGACGCTTAGCCTACTGAGCCACCCAGGTGCCCCAAATAATAACTAATACTTCTATGGCACTTACTACAAGCCAGGTACCATAAGAGCTTTACACATATTAACCCACTTAATCTTCCAGATGCTCCATGAGGGAAGTACTATTAATATCCCCATTTTATAGAGAGGACGCTGAGTGCAACACAGAGTTTCAATATTTTGCCCAAGGTCACATAGCAAATAAGCTGGGATTCAACTCTAGGTAATTTGGCTCCATTATCCACCGTCTTATCTTGTATACATTCCTGCCTTTCGGCAGGTAAATAAGAAACAGTCATATTTCATCAGGAGAAATTCGTAATTTTCTGGCACTTTGGGAATAAGACAATCCCCAGTATGTCTTTCAGTACTTATGCTAAAGTTTAGGGAGGGTAGTTGAAAGAGCCATGAAATTTGAGAAAGGAGGCTTGGCTTATAGCCACGACACTGCCCTTACTTGCTGTGTGACCTTGGACAAGGGTCTTACCCTGTCTGGGCCCTGATTTCCATCTTGGAAATAAAGGCATCATGTTAGCTGGTCTCTGAAAGTCTCTGAAAGCTCTAGTCCAAGATCTAAAGCCCAAATTCAAAATCCACTTCCTTCCTCTACCCCCACTAGTGCTGCAGGGTCAGTGGGATGTGGCATGTTAGTGGGTAAGACTCCTTTAGACACTGTGGTGAACATCTGCTGGAAACCGGACTGGAGGCCGAGTTGCTCTCCTCAGTCCCCAGCTCAGGATTTACAAAGTGACGTTCCTATTGGCCATCCTATAAGGGGTTTCAGTCTAAGTCTAGTCTACTAGGGTTCCCCCACCCACAGTTCCTTGGCCCCATACCCAGAGGGCTTTCTCTCCTCAGTAAGTCTTTGATCTCTCTCTTTCTGCAGGAAGGAAATCCCTTTGGCCCATTTTGGGATCAGTTTCATGTGAGTTTCAACAAGTCTGAACTTTTTTCAGGCATTTCCTTCAGTGCCTCCTACAAAGACCAGTGGATCCAGAGGTAACTTGGAGGGGGCAGTGTTGCTGGGTTTAGGGGAGGGGCATGGGGCCCCTGAGAATGCAGCACCTTCCTGACCCCCTCTCCCCCCCGTACCACACCCTGATGTTTGAGACCAAAGGTGCGGCCATTCTGTCTGTTGAACTTGGGATCCTGTGTGATCTGTTCCCATCTCAACGCCTGACACGGTGGGACATTGACCTGCCCCAAGGTTGAGCAAGAGTTTATCGGCCGATAAAGGATGTCATAAAAAGAGTATTGTGCAGTCACATGGGTCTTGATTTCCTCCTCTAGGCGTGAGAATCACTCCCCTGTTACCTTCCTCTTCACAAGGTGAGAATTGGAAGCAGCTTCTAGAGAAAAGCAACTTAAGGTGCAGACTGAGAAATGATGTCATCCCGATAATTGGATGTGCTTTATTAATTGCACTCCAGTAGGCCCTATTAAAAAAAATAGGTTAGCAGGGCACAGGCACAGGCTGTGAAATATTTATAGGGCGTCTGTCACGTATGAGACATACTGCTCAAAGGCCAGAGGTGATATATAAAAATGAGGAAGATCCAGCCTCAGCCTTCAGGGAGCCACATACTAGTTATAATGATGCTAACAAACAGTGCACTTGCCTTGATGCTATAGCATGGCAAGAAGGAACGTGAGCTTAAAAGTCAGACTTGGGTTCAGGGCTGTGAGGAACATGTGAATTCATACATGGTCATATCCCTCGGCATTCTGTAGACCAAGGATGGACTGATGTAGAGAAAGGAGTCCCGCACTTGGAATCAGACAGACCTGGCCTTGGACTCAGCCCTGCCTCTTTCTCAGGAGACCCTGAGCAGCCTCTCCAGCTGTCTGGCCTGAATATCCTCGTGGTTGAATGGAAGGAGCCCTGTGGCATTTGCCTCCTAGGGCATAGAGCGCATGGTTCATAGTAGGGGGCCAACCAGTATTAGCTGTTAATATTATTATTCACATGCTTTATTTCATATAAAGAGAAACTTTGGGAAACTCTATGAAGTGGGTTTTATGATTGATTTTCATTTGGCAGATAAGGAAACAGCTCAGTGAAGTAAGATAACTTGCCCAGGGAACCCAGCTGTTGAGAGGGCAGCTGCAGGCCGAATGTAACTCTTTAATACATAATAAAGCTGCTATTTATTTAGTGCCTACTGTGTACCAAACACCGTTCTAAGTTTTCATTTCACTACCTAAGTCTTCTAAGGTGGTAACTCACTGGATCCTTCCCCAAGTCTGTGCGACAGGAGTTACTGTCTTCTGTGCTTTACACATAGGGAAATTGAAGCAAAGAGGAGTGAAGTCTCTTGCCCAAGGTCACACAGCTTGAAGTGGCAAAGCTGGATTTGAACCCAGGCAGTCTGATTCCAGAGCACCCATTCTTTTTTTTTTTTTTTTAAGAAGACTTTATTTATTTATTTGACAGAGAGAGACACAGCGAGAGAGGGAACACAAGCAGGCTGAGTGGGAGAGGGAGAAGCAGGCTTCCCGCCGAGCAGGGAGCCTGATGCAGGGCTTGATCCCAGGATCCTGGGATCATGACCTGAGCCAAAGGCAGACGCTTAACGACTGAGCCACCCAGGCGCCCCTAGAGCACCCATTCTTAATCACCACGGAGAATAGCTGTGCCTATAACAGCTGCCAATTCCCATTTGGGATTTCTGAGCTAATTCAGGAGCTACTGAGGATACTCAGTCATGGCAGGTTCTACTCCTCCCTCGTGGTTGATCTTGATAGGGTATTTCCATTTGATCACCTCGTTTCTAGAAGATATAGTGCCACGAAGGACAGAAACAGGTGATGTGTGGTTGGAGGGCCGAGACCTTGTCTCAGCTCGGGCTGCTATAACAAAATAGCACAGCCTGGAGGCTAAAACAACACGCTTGTTTCTCATGGTTCTGGAGGCTGGTGGCTCCTAAAGTCCAAGATCAGGGTGCCAGCATGGTTGGGCTGCAGTGATCTTTGCTTGCTACCTTTTTGCTGTGTCCTCACATGTTAGAGAGCAGGCTCACTTATGTGGAACTAATCTCATCATGGGGGCTCTATTCTTATGACCTCAACTAAACTTTATTGCCTCCCAAATGCCCTACCTCCTAATATCATCACACTGGGGGTTGAGACCTCAACTATGAATCAGAGAGGGCAGGGGAGGGGGCACAAACATTCAGGCCATGAGAGACCTGAAGGGAAGGAGCCATCCATGGAAAAAGCTTGAGGGAAAGGTAGTTCTTCACGGTGGGGACATGGAGCACAGAGGCTCTGAGGCAGGAACAGGCTTGGTGTGGTGGAGGGGCAGACAGCCAGTGTGGCTTCGTGGAGTGAGTGAGGAAGAGAATGGGGACTGTTCCATCATTTGTTACTGAATAATAAACCAGTTTTGGAATGGGTCCCCAGCAGTGCGTAATTATTTCTCAGATTCTGTGGGTTGACAGGGGTCAGCGAGGCAGTTCTGGTTTTTGGTTTTGCATCTTCTTTCTAGAATCCCAACTGTACAAAGTTTCAATCCATGTTAAACATCTAATTTCTTGCTATAAATATCCTTTAGAACCCACCGCAGATTGGGTGGGAGATTTTTAAATTTTTAATAAAGAAGAGAATTACATTTGCTCATAATCCACCACCCCCTTCAAAAAACACTCTTAGCAGCTTGATGTATATACTTACATCCTCCAGTACTTTTATGAACACCTATATACCTACACAGATTAGCTTAACATGAAACTACTGTGTGTAGTTTGTGATTGAGTATTACTCAACTGCCTTTTCTGAGGAGGAATTAATATTATTTACCAGGTTAGTAAATATTGCTAGCAGGATCAGTTCTAAACGTAAACAAACACGAGATTTCAAAAAAATGGTTACTGGGATATATATGTGTATTTGTGCCAATGGAGTGTGTGTGTGTGTGTGTGTGTGTGTGTGTTATTTAATTATTTTGTAACCACGTTTTTAAGTGTACATTCAGTAGCATTAAGTACTGTGCCCTGTTGTATGCAGCCACCACCACTGTCCATCTCCAGAACGTTTTCATCACCCCAGACAGAACCTCTGTACCCATTAAACAACTCTCCCCATTCTTCCATGCCCCCCCCCGCCCTATCCCTTTATTCAACTTTTCTGTGTCTGAATTTGCCTATTCTAGGTCTCTTATAAGTAGAATGATATATTAGTCTTTTTGTTTCTAGCTTATTTCACTTAGCATAATGTCTTCAGATCTCATCTGTGTTGTGGTATACATCAAAATTTTAGTCCTTTTTTTTTTTTAAAGATTTTATTTATTTATTTAATTGATAGAGAGAAAGAGACACGGCGAGAGAGGGAACACAAGCAGGGAGAGTGGGAGAGGGAGAAGCAGGCTTCCTGCCGAGCAGGGAGCCTGATGCGGGGCTTGATTCCAGGACCCTGGGATCATGACCTGAGCCGAAGGCAGTCGCTTAACCAACTGAGCCACCCAGGGGCCCCAAAATTTTAGTCCTTTTAAGGCTGAATAGTTCATTATGTGCACGGACCACATTTTGTTTATCTATTCATCTGTTGATGGACACTTGGGTTAGCCAGTCACTTCTTGCTTTTGGTCTCATGTGGTTGAAGTCAGCTGTCAGCTGTCAGCTGGTGCTGGAGTCTGGAAGCCCGGCTGGGCTGCATGTCCAAGAGGGCTCGCTCATGGCTAGCCAGTAATGCATGCTGCCATTGGGGAGCTCAGCTGGGGCAGTTGGCTGGTGTGAGTACACAAGGCCTCTCCATGTGGCTTGGACTTCTGACGGCATATCAGCCAAGTTCTGAGAGGATACAACCAGGGAGTGAATGTTTCAAGAGATGGGAAATAGAAGCTGCTGGCTCCTAAAGCCTGGGCCTGGTGACTGGGACAGTGTCACTCCTGCTTCATGCCGTTGGGAGGGGACACAGAGTCCACCTAACAAGAGAAGATTTGAAGAATTAATCTGCCATACAGGTGAGGAGCTTGGAGAAGAAGTGGGCAGGGGTCAGACTGCACAGGGCTTTGTAGGCCCTGGCAAAGCAGGCTGATAAGCAGCCTGAGTGCTTTGTAGGAGTGAGCTGGAGAGTGTATATATTCTAAACATTTTCTAAAATAGTGGACACTTGCTTGCTGTAGAAAGTTGTCCTTTGGGGGCGGGGGTAGAGGGGTAGGGAGAATGGCATTGGAAAGGGTCAGGCTTTTCCCCGGCTCACTGTGTGACGGAGTAGATTACTTCCCTTCTCCGGCCACCATTCCATCTGTAAAATGAAAGGGGTGAGCAAGGTCTGTGGTTTCCATACTGTTCCTCAGAGTTCTTGAGAAGGGCCTCTAGTGCCATGAGGCTGGCAATGCAGGGCCAACCTGGAGGGGCTCAGGTCCCTCCCACCACCACCTTTAACCAGTAATCCTCTTGTATATCAACTAAAAGCTTGGATGGCCACAGGTCTAGGTATACCAGGCCTAATTTAAGCCACATGTTACAGAAAACCCCAAATAACAGCAGATTAAGAAGATAGAAATGTATTGCTTTCTTCAGTAAGAGGAGTACTGAGGGATGCAACCCGCCACTCGATGGCAGCTCCATCATACTGTCAGGACTCAGGCTGCCAACCCCGCCAAGCCAACCCCGTACTGGCTTTTATCCTCAGTGCCCCCTCACAGGGCTGATGAAGCATTAGCCATTACAACGTTGCCCTAGGCAGCTGGAAGGAAAAAAGGGCAGAAGGGGGGCACAGCCTCACCTTTTTAAGGAACCTTTCTAGGAGTCCCATATAGCCCTCTTGCATCTCGTTGGCTAGTTCTTAAACACATGGCCATACCTTAGCTGTAAGAAGTACAGAGAAATCTCTTTATTTGGGGCTGCCATGTGTCCAGCTAATTCAAGGAGAAGGGGTAAGAGGTATTTCTTCCCCACTAGGTGATTTCTGAGAATCCTTCTAGCTCTGCTGCTTCTGAGTCTGTGAATACCCTGGCAGAGGTTTAATTCAACAGATATTTATTGCACATCAAATGTTGAAAGACCATGGACCATCATGCTGAACCATTCTCGTGGCATGAAGGTAACAGGTATTTGGAACTCCTAGAAAATCCTGACTATCACCATCACCATCATTGTCCTATTGCATGAAACCCACTGCAACTTTTTAGAAGTTCAACTTTATGTTTTAGAGACTTGGCCACGTTGACCGTGTTAGCTTCTTTCAAAGTGTTGTTCCACTTTGCACAACTAAGCACAGCAGCGCTGCAGTGGGCATGCCCCTTTCTTCACACCCAACCCAAACACCTCGGTCTGCAAAGACCTCCCAACCCTCCAAGACCAGCTGCCACTCCCAAGCCTCGGCTCCCTGTCCCGCTTCTCCTTTGCTGCCGTCTGCACACTGACTTGCTCGACAGCCATCTCCCCTGCTGCAGCGTCAGCCCACGAGGGTAGGGGCCTGGGCAATTCTGCTCCCCACAGTTCCCACACACACTGGCCCAGGGCTTGTGTCACAGAAGCAACAAGCAAGTGTTCGCTGACATCCTGGCTCTACATGACATTTGTTTCATTATAATAATCTCATATGTACATGTATGTGAATCACTGATCGAGCCTTATTATGTGACAGGCAACGTTCTACTTGCTTTACGTATATGAATTCGTTTGGTTCTCACAAGAGCCCTGTGAGGTAAGCACTATTGTTATTCTCCTTTTACAGATGAGGAAATCGAGGCATAGAAAGCTTAAGTAACACGCCCATGGTCATGCAACCAGGAATTGGTGGAGCTAGGATTTGAATCCAAGGCAGTCTGCTCCAGAACCTGGTGTTCTTAACTATGCACCTCACTCCCAGCTCCCCCACTGCCATCAGTGAGTCCCTCAAAAGCGGAGTCTGCCCTCTGTTTCTGATCTGTAGTCCCCAGCACAGGCCTCAACGTACAATGGGTACATCAGTATTTTTAGAATGAATGATTGAAGGAATGAGGATTCAGGGGTCTTACCAGAAAGACCAGGCCAGGTTGTCAGGGGTTAGAGGAAGAAGAAGCGCATATGAGCTGAACACCTACTACCATCTGGCCCTCAGCCAAACTCCTTTCTGATGTCACCTCCAAAGATTTCAAAAGTAGAAAGTTAGAGTTTGTGATCTCCCAGGCAGTGGAACACTAGGAGAAATCAGGAACTGTGCGCTCTCTGACCTCTTGGAGAGAATCTGCAGCGACCCTTGGTGAATTCTAGATTTGGAATGTCCATCCCCTCTCCCTAGATCTGGATTCGGCACATGACTGCCCCACTGGAACATCAGCCATCATGACCTGATGAGCATCAAGAGGCCCAGACTGAAGTGTTCATTTACTCCCAATGAGAGAGGAGAGTATTGTTTGGAAAGAAAGGGAGTGCTAAGGGTGTTGTTTGGAAACAAAGCTTGACCAGCTCCATCTGCCCCTGAGCGCCCTAGGTCCGGCCCTTAGCCTGGTCACTGTCCAGCTGAAAAAGGCATATTCTCTTGCTGCTGGGTGCAGTGAACCTCTGGGGTTCTTGCCCACCACCCCTCCACTACTGAGATTCCTCCACCCATCTGGAGTTTCTTTATGCACAGCATCCACTGATGTGCCCGCAGTACATATGTGGGACACTGGATGAACACCATCCTGAGTGCAAAGGATGCAGGGACATGAAGGAGGCAGGACCTTGCTCTCAACGTCCCTGTCAGGAAGGACTACCTTTCTCTCCCCCTCTTCTCACGGATGGCTCCTCATCCTTTGGGTCTCAGTCTGGTCCCAGCCCTGCCAATTACATGTCACCTGTTTACGGCCTCTGAGGAAGGCTGCAGCCTGGGAGCACACTAACAGTAAGGGCTGACGCTGCAGCAGGGGAGACGGCTGTCGAGCACGTCAGTGTGCAGACGGCAGCAAAGGAGAAGCGGGACAGGGAGCCGAGGCTTGGGAGTGGCAGCTGGTCTTGGAGGGTTGGGAGGTGTTTGCAGACCGAGGTGTTTGGGTTGGGTGTGAAGAAAGGGCCGTGCCCACTGCAGCGCTGCTGTGCTTATTCGTGCAAAATGGAAAACTTCGAGAGAAGCTAACACGGTCAACGTGGCCAAGTCTCTAAAACATAAAGTTGAATTTCTAAAAAGTTGCAGTGGGCTTCATGCAATAGGACAATGATGGTGATGGTGATAGGATTTCTTAAGACTTTCTATGTGCCGAGTACTGTTCTAAATGCTTTGCTTATATTAATCCATTTAATCTTCTCAAGAGCCCTACGAGTCAGGAGCTATTATTAGCTCTATTATACAGATAAGGGAAATGCTGCTCAGAATGGGTAAGTCACCTGTCCGAGTTAGTGGGTGGCATAGTCGACATTAGCACAAGGCTGTCTGGCTCGACAGCCTGGACCTTTACCATTACATTGTGTGAAAAGCACACAGAATAATACCTTTTTGCACAAATAGTAAAAGTGTAGTCATGCATAAAGCCACTGTATCTTCTGGGAAGAGGAAGTAAAGGAGGGAAAGATGACGGGATAGACCTTTTATTTCACTGTCTCTTTTTTAAACAATCTGAGGGCGCCTGGGTGGCTCAGTCGTTAAGCGTCTGCCTTCGGCTCAGGTCATGATCCCAGGGTCCTGGGATCGAGCCCCTCTCAGGCTCCCTGCCCAGTGGGAAGCCTGCTTTTCCCTCTCCCACTCCCCCTGCTTGTGTTCCCTCTCTTGCTATCTCTCTCTCTGTCAAATAAAATCTTAAAAAAAAAAAAATAACAAATCTGAAACACAGCTGCTAATTTGGGTCATGTGTATGTGGGTTGTAAAGCTATTTTCTGTATTTTCCTGTTATGCTTTGAAATATTTAATAACTTTTCATTGAAATTTTTATTGAGGTAATTGTAGATTCACATGTTGTAAGAAATAATACAAAGACAAGGAAGGAAGGAAGAAAGGAAGGAAAGAAAAGAAAACAAAGAATACAAAGAGGTCTCAGGTACCCTTTACCCAGTTTCGCTCATTGCTGGCATTTTGCAAAACTATAGTACAGTATCACAACCAGGATGTTGACATTGATACAATCCACCCATCGTATTCAGATTGTCCTAGTTTTACTTGTACTCACTTCTATATGTGCACACGTGTGTGTGTATTTAGGTCTGTTCGATTTTACACATATGTAGGTTGTAACCACCACCACAGTCAAAATACCCAAACAGTTCTAACTTCACAAGGATCCTCTGTGACCAGTGTATGACTACACCCATGTCCTTAACCATGCATGTGCGTGCGCGCGCACACACACGGGCACACACCCCCTAGCCCCTGACAACCACTAATCTCCATTTCTGTTCTCTGCTCTGTTATGTCATTTCAAAAATGTTACATAAATGCAATCACAGTATGTACGATTGAGGGCTTGGCTTCTTTCGTCCTGCATAGCTCCCTTGAGATCCATCCCATGTTGTTGCCTGTCTCGGTAGTTTGTTCCTTGCTATTGCTGTGTCGGATTCCATGGTGGGATGCACCATGGTTTGGTTAGCTAGTCACCTGGACATTAGAGCTGTTTCCAGTTTGGGGCTGTTATGAACAAAGCTGCTCTGAACATTCGTATACTGGTTTGTGTGTGAATATAGGTTTTCATTTCTTTGGGATAAATGCCCAAGAGTACAATTGGTGGGACATATGGTAACTGCATTCTAGTTTTACAAGAAACTGCCAAACTGTTTGCCAGAGTGGCTGTGCCGATTTCAGAATTTTAAGAAAAGGCTTTTGGCTGACAGAGGGAAGGCAGTCCAGGTCAAGGCAAGAAGCATACAGAGATCTGGAGCTTGAAAGTGCATTCGAGTTGATGGAACTGTCAGGATGTTTCGTGTTGCTAGGACAGACTCTGGATTTAGCTGAAGAGGGAGCATGGGTTCTCTCCTCACTCATTCAGTCAACAAATATTCACTGAGCTCTTACATGTGCCAGACACCGTCCTAGTCACATGGAGGCATGCCTTCGGAAGTCTTTGTCTAGTAGAAAAGACAGGGTGAAGTAATTACGATGTGCATTGTGTACAAGGAAGGAGAGCCTTCGGGACAGTACGACAGCATCCGTAGATGGCAGGTTTTCACGAGGGCAGCGATCATGCCTGTCTTGTTCTCCCCTGGACCCCAGCACATAGTAGGCAGTCAACAAATATATGTTAAATGTCGCACAAATGGCCTCACCCAGTGTACACATTGCCTGTGAGCCTGACCTGTCCACGGCCCTGTGGAAGCTGCTGCATGTCCCAGTCCCGCCATGTGGGTAAAAGGGCAGAGGCGCGGTCCAGACACCCCACCCTGGAGTGAATTACCACACCACAGACTGGAAGCCAGCATGACATACAAAAGGTTGGCATGCTCTACTGTAAATTTTTAATTGTTAAGCAAGCAAAGAGGGTTGTAAATTCCGTGCGGCGGGACAGTATTGTATATTGTGCCTGTTGTCGCCGCCCTGGTTCCTTATCAGCCTATTGGGGTTTCTCAGCCTCTCGTGCTTCTTGCATGTTAGTGGGGCCCCTTTGCAGGGTCTCTGGGGCATGGCGCAACACCATCCTTTGTCCTGTGGGGGAGGCGGCCAGGCTGTGTGTCCTCTGTCTGACTTCCCCTCCTTCCATCTCCTGCCTAGATTTTCTCCAAAGGAACATCCAGTGCTCGCCCTGCCAGGGGCTCCGGCCCAGTTCCCCGTCCTGGAGGAACACAGGCCGCTCCAGAAGTACATGGTATGGTCAGACGAGATGGTGAGGACGGGAGAGGCCCACATCCGCACCCACCTCATCCGGCCCTACGTGGGCATTCACCTGCGCATTGGCTCTGACTGGGTAATTTCTCCCTTCCTCTCAGGGCTGGCTTGGACATGTCCCTGATTAGGGCCCATGCCTGTGGATGTTGAACCCTGAACCCACTGCACCGAGTCCCAGCCAGGGCAGACAGGTCTCACTCAGCCAAATCCACGGGGCTGTGTTCCACGATCCCGCCTTAGACACATGAGAATTGTGACTGCAAAGTGCTTGCTTGCCAGCCCTCGTTTTAACAATAGCCATTTTTGTCCTTATTTTGCAGATGGTTAAATAAACATCAAGCTAGACTCCAAGTCAGGCAGCAAGCCAGAGAGAGACCCAGAGCCCAGGAGTCTTGTGGTCCAGCTAATTGTTTAGCCAGTAGACTCTTTGTTGAAAAACAGGCTCTGGAGATTGGGTGGGGCTCTCAAAACTGAAGATGTCATCCTCCAAATTTGGAGGCTGCTTAAATGTGCAGAAACCTCATCAGATTATCTTCTGTGTAAAAATAACAGGAGAAATGTAGACAGTCTCCTTAATTTACATAAGAGAATATATGTATATATGTATGTTAGAAATGCTCGTTGTTGAAGACTTGAAAAATACTGCAAAGTGATGAGGTTTTACAGAGAGGTGTTGTACATGGGTTTTCTTTTCCTTATGACTTTCTTAGTAACTTTTTCTTGTTTCTAGCTTCCTTTATTGTAAGAATACAGTATATGATACATATAACATAAAAAATGTGTGTTTATCAACTGTTTATGTTATCAGTAAGGCTTTTGGTCTACAGTAGGCTATTAGCAGCTAAGTTTGGGGGAAGTCAAAAATTATATATGGGGTAGGGGATGGCGGCCCCTATGCCCTGTGTCGTTCAAGGGTCAACTATAGTCACACATTGACTCCCTTCCTGCCCTCCTTCCATAAAGAAAAGGAACCAGGCTCAGAATATCTTGTGAGTGGTTTTAGCCAAACATTTAAGAAACAGTTTCTATCTATACATGCCTAGAACATAAAAAGACATAAGATGCTATTTTTCACAAAGCTAGCATAACACCAACCCAAACTCGGATAAGGTCAATTCAGAAGAGTAGAGCTCATTCTCACAAACATAAATGTGCAGATCCTAAGTAGAATATCAGCAAGTAAACTCCAATAACATATTAAAGAGCATATGAGACAAGTAAACCTTATCCCAGGAATGCAACGAAATTCACTATATTAGTGAATTCACCCAAAGAGGAAAAATCATATAATCATCTCAGTAGAGGCCAAGAAAGCATTTGATAAAAGCCAACACTCAGTCATGATTTAAAAAAAAAAAAAAAAAGCCTCTTAACCAACTGGGAATTGAAAGGACCCACCTTAACTTGATAAAGGCTATCTCTCCGAAACCCACAGCAAACATGTACTTCATGGGAGCTACCAGAAGTGTTCCCACTGAAGTCAGAAATCAGATAAGGCTGCCGTTATCACCACCACGGTTCGGAATTCTACTGGAGGTCCCAGATAATACAGTTAAGACTAAGAAAAAAATATTTTGTAAAAAGCCAGTATGCCACTATAGAGAAACAGCCGCTGTTACTGTCTTGATGCGTTTCCCTCTTCCCTCAATACTTTTTTTAAAAACACAGTTGAGCTTCTGTATAGCCTTTTTCCACTTAGTGGCTCTTGCTTCTGGGGCCCCGGCCAGCTGCTGTCTTTAACCGTGTCCCCCCACGACCCTGCAGAAGAATGCCTGTGCCATGCTGAAGGACGGGACTGCGGGCTCCCACTTCATGGCCTCCCCACAGTGTGTGGGCTACAGCCGCAGCACGGCCGCCCCTCTCACCCTGACTATGTGCCTTCCTGACCTGAAGGAAATCAGACGGGCCGTGAAGCTCTGGGTGGAGGCACTGAATGCCCAGTCAGTCTACATCGCCACGGATTCCGAGAGTTACGTGCCCGAGATCCAAGAGCTCTTCAAAGGGAAGGTGTGTATGGTCCCAGTGGGGGTGTAGGAGGAAGGGAATCCAAGAAAGCTCCAGGGTGGTCCCACCGCTCCCCCTACATGCTTCATGTCCTCCTGACACTTACATGTCCACTTCTTTTTTTTTTTTTAAGATTTTATCTATTTATTTGACAGAGAAGAGTGAGAGAGCACAAGCAGGGGGAACAGTAGAGGGAGAGGGAGAAGCAGGCTCCCCGGCAAGCAGGGAGCCCGATGTAGGGCTCGATCCCAGGACCCTGAGATCATGACCTGAGCTGAAGGCAGACGCTTAACCATCTGAGCCACCCAGGTGCCCCTAGATGTCCACTTCTGCTCCAATTCCTATCCTTCCTTCAAACCCCAGCCCAAACACCCTGGCACATTCTCTCCAGATTTCCCTGCGCTCTTGTAGCTTCCTACTGAAGCCATCACCGCATTTTACCACATCTGCTCTGGAGGCACTGTCTAGTCTGTGTGAGGCCAGAAACACGGCCCACTTCCCAAGAGTTGTGGCTCCTTAAAGGCAGAGTCCAAGGCTGACTCACTCACTCTTCTGTTCCTCAGCATCTGGGGGCGTTGCCATCACCAATGCCCACGACAGTGCCTAACACAGTAGATGCTCGGTAACCGTCGAATAAGGACATAAAGAGTGGGCCCGTGGGAGAGACCCAGTGTAGCAGAGAGATTAAGGGCCTGGACCCTGGAGCCGGAGAATGTGAGCACTGCTCACTGTGCTGTCTGCACAAGGTACTGTAGCCTTCTGTGCTTCTGTTTCCTCTTCTGTAAAGTGGGACTGAGAGCAGTCCTGTCTCATTGGGCGGTAGTGCAGGTCAGACTGAAGCAACAAACAGTTCCAGGACAAAACAAGTCCTCAGTAGTGTTAGCAGTCACCAATAGTAGGAGTAGGTGATTGATGAATAAAAGGAAGTCTCTTTTGTGCTTAGTAAGTGGTGAATGGTAAATATTCAGTGTGTGAGTAAAGAGCGGATGTGTTTGGTACTCTTATCAGTGGAGAGTAGGTAATAAGTAAGTATGTATCAATAAAATGACTGAAGTAATGGTAAGCATTCAGTAAGATTCGTGGATGAATGAAAGCCCTAAATGCTTGCACAGACCTTAAAAGATTGGCTTTCTAGCAGTGAGAACCCTTGGCTTTATGGGAGGGGCCCCGTTCTCCCTTTTACCCCAGACACTGGCTGGAAGCCCTGACTTGTAGAGAAGGTGCTGAAGCCGAGCATCCTGGCCTCCCTCCCACCCACCCACGTTATAGAAGACCATCAGAGCCGGGAGCCCTCAGGACTCCTCTAATGCAACCCCTGTATTTTATAGCTGAGGAAACCAAGAAGGAATAGAATTTACCCAGGAGGTCTCAGAGCTAATTATAGTGGGCCTGACACAGAGCGGGTAAGTTTCAGAGCGTGGGTGGAATTGTTCGGGGATTTTGGCCATGAATAAACCAGTAGTATTTCTTTGCTACCATCCACAGAGCAAGATGATGATTTTTGTTACATCAGAAATCTCTGTGTGACAGCAAAGCACTTTCAGCCCCAGCTCTGCCCACACCCCCACCTCTGTACTAAATTGAAGCATTTGGAGAGTCCCAGGGAGTTTTTTTGTGAGTTTTTAGAGTTGATATATTTGTTACACCTTGAGCCTCTTGCCATTTTCTATTTCCTGTTCCTGTGCCCCTGTTCTTGCCCTTCCCCACTCCTCAGCCCCTTTCTCCATGGGCTCAGAGCCCACCCTTGCTCCTCATTTAAGCTGGGGCCCTGCTGAGCTGGGGATACTGGTAAATAAGATGTGGTCTTGCCCTGTAAAGCTCCCAGTCTAGACTCAGGAAAAGAGACTTTGCACAGAACTCTAATGTATGCTGCATGAGAGGTCTAGGAGCTTGAGTAGGGGCAGGGGCTCACTCATTCACTTGTCCAGTCAATAGATGTTTATTGAGGCAGGCCCCAGCCAGCAGTGACCAGAAGGCTGCCACAGCCCTGACCCCATCAGGTGCAGGAGACATATTAATCAGAGTAGGAACTACAAACTGAGATGTGTGCTGCAAAGTAAAGGAATGTGGTTTGGGAGAATGTAGAGCAGAGGACTCTGGCCTAGATCGGGGTCCACAGAGGTGAGACTGGAGCTGCAGAGTGAGGGCTAAGTAAGAGTTAACCAGACAAAAAGATGAGCACCCCGAACAGAGGGAGAGTGCATGCAAAAGTCCTGAGGCAGGAGGGAGCCTCGTGGGTAGTGGCTGGAGCTCAAGGGGAGATGGGGAGAATATGAGAGGTGGAGAGGTGACTTGAACAGGGCTTTGTGGGCCCCATTCAAGATTTGTCGTCTTCATCTATAGAGCAGTAGGGCACCATTTAAGAGTGTTTCGCTTAGGGCGCCTGGATGGCTCAGTCGGTTGAGTGTCTGCCTTTGGCCCAGGTCATGATCCCAGGGTCCTGAGATTGAGCCCCGCATCCGGCTCCCTGCTCAGCGGGGAGCCTGCTTCCCCCTCTCCCACTGCCTCTCCGCAGCCGCTGGGTAATACTGCTGCCAGAATGCCCGACCCCACGCCCTGGTCCTCTCTGCCCCACCTTCTGTGTCTGTCACTTCTGCACGAGGGAAGAGAGCTGAGGGTATGGCTGCAGGCCTTGGCCGAACTGGTCACCACCCTGTTGGAAACATTCTTCCCTTCCTCCTGCAGGTGAAGGTGGTGAGCCTGAAGCCTGAAGTGGCCCAGATCGACCTGTACATCCTTGGCCAAGCTGACCACTTTATTGGCAACTGTGTCTCCTCCTTCACTGCCTTCGTGAAGCGGGAGCGGGACCTCCAGGGGAGGCCGTCCTCTTTCTTTGGCATGGACAAGCCCCCTCAGCTGCGGGATGAGTTCTGATCCTGGCTGGAGCACATCACCAGTCTGAGCTGGTCGCACTTGCCAGGCCTGGCAGCCAGCAGTGCTCCCAGCATGGATTCTCAAGAGTGCAAGCTCCTCTGCTCCCCTGCCAGAGACAGAAAAGCACCAGGGACTTCTGGAGGAGAAGGACTCCATCTCCCAGGGCACAGGGCTTTCAGGCTCCTGGAGCCGGAGCATCTCTGCTCCCTTTGTGCCTCCTGCTGTTTCTCCTGGGAATTTCGCACACTGGCAAAGCAGTCCAACCTCTGTCTTTTGGTCTGCCCTGCTCTGAGCAGCCTGGGGGGCTAATCTCTTCAGCGATTTTTTTATAGAGAGAGAAACAGAGATTCTTATAGTTTTGATATGAGATCATGATTACCCGAGAACTCTCCCTCATTTTTAAAAATCAGTGAAGTTCATTAACGTAAATACCTAAAGTGACCTTGAATGAGGATGAGGCCAGGGGTGGAGTGGTTGTATTGACCCTTTTTCCAGATGACCCAAAGTAGCCCTTAGAACAGGCCGGAGACATCCCCGCTGCCTGGCCAGAGCCATTGTCAGCCTGTCTTCCGAGGCCATTTCCAGGGTTTGGGGCATGGGCACTCATCTCTATTATAAACACTGTGCAAATGGAAGTTATTGATCAGGATGCTGTGCAGTGCTCTGCAGACACTGAGTGCTGCTCACAAAGCACATTCCAAGCAAGGGGCAAGTGCCATCAAGCCAGACCATCATGGTATTGCTGTCAGAGTCTCCTAGTGGTTGGTGGCCTGCCACAAACCTGGCTCCATCGAGATCTTGGAGCACCAGGGCCCAGGGCTGGATGGCCCGGTGGCATCCTTCTGAAGGCTGCCCTCTCCCCTTTCATCTGTTTCCCAAGGGGCCTGGTTGTAGAATTTTGCCATTAAGTTGCTATCCAAGGCCTGTCCCTCGACCCTCCCTCCTGGGGCTGGAGCCCTCAGGCCATATTCTCACCAGGGCATGTTTGCTAAGCCTCTGACCGGATGAGATGCCCCTGACCCAGAAGCCATCAGATTCCCAATCTGCCCCTTCCCATCCAGTGGAATCTCTGCCAGCCCCATGAGGCTAAAAAGTCGTGAGTTTGTCTCTCAGATGTTAGAGTTGTGATAATCCATGACTCCTAAGAGTCTATGGTGTTTTGGCCTTGTGGTTCTAAAATTCATGTCTAACACCTGCTGGTCTCTTCCCCACCATGTGACTTCCTTTGGCCTTCAGTCCTGGGAAGGTAGAGGAAACTGATGAGAGCCAGGCCCAAAGCTCCATGCAGGGCCTCCCCCTCAGATTACCTTTGGGAAGAAACACTGTCTCTGTCGAGGCAGACTGGGCCAGAGGTGGCGGAGCGACAAGGATCTCAAACACTAAAGGTGGCATTTGCTGCTCAGAGCTGTCACCCGACTTGAAGCAGAGAAACTAGAGAAAGGGCTTTTGTGTTTTCCCTCTTGGGAAAACAGTAAAATATTCTAAATCCTGGGTGGACTCTGAGACATGGCTCGTCTGTCTGGACTTGTTCACAAGCTTCATTCAGAGGTACGGGAGCCTGAGCACCCCTGCCTCCGTGGGGTCGTTGGAAAGGTGTGGCTCATTGGCTGATTTTGTTGGCTGAATTCATTTGCTGATCACAGCCTCACACTAGGCACATGCTTTAGAGTCTGGGGCTCTAACGGGCCATCCAGACCACTTTGATTAGCGTTGGCAGTGATAATAGCTGTGTTTCTGGACAAGAGGGTGCCGGGTTGTAGTCAGATTCAGTTGTGTTCCATAGGCAAGCACTTTGCTCCTCTTTGACCCAGTTGCCTCGCCTATAAAAATGATGATAAAACAGACAGGGTTGTTGAAAGGCTCCCATCAGATAAAACAGGCATAAGAGCGCTTTGTAAACTGAAAGAGCCAAAGGCACGTATATATATGGCTGTTGATTAATTTGATGGCCTCTTGTTGCACACCTACTCTGTGCCAGGCACTGTGCTTATTAAGTGCTTTATGGGACTTGAGACCTGATTCCAGCCCTGGGGAGTAGGAGCTGTCAATATCCTTCTCCTTCTGCACAGGAAAAAACCAACACTCAGAAAATTCTCATCATTTTCTCAAGGCCACATAACTGGTGGTGTTAAGCCAGCATCTGCCCTCCCAAAGCCATTACCATTAGCCGTATACCCTACTGCCACCACTTCACAGGATGCACTTTACACGGGGTGTGTGTGTAGGCTTCGGGTGGGAGACCCGTCATCCACTTTAGTTCCCCCACTGGGCTCCTGCTGTGTATGGGTCTGTCACTGCCAGGAGGTTTGGGGGAAGGAGAGATCACCCAGGAAAGAAAGCCCACATGAAGCTTACAGTTCTTTTGAGTGTTTAGCCCGCCATTCTTTCATTCAAATCACCTGCTGTGTGCCAGGCACTGTGCTAGGTATGAGGATTCAGCAGAGAATCAGACAGAAAGCCTTTGTTCTCAAGGGATTTGCATTAAGTATAGGACGCAAGGAACAAATTTTATCAGGGAGGGTATTGACTGCTATGAAGAAAAATAAAGGGTATGGGGGAGTTGAGAGAGGGAGCAGTGCTGTTTTGGATGAGGAGTTCAGGTAAGCCCTCTCTGAAGAGCCACCAGGAGGAAGGAGGGGACCACTCATTCAGATACCTGGAGGCAGCACATTCCAGGCAGAGGAAGCAGCAGGTGCAAAGGTCCTGAAGCTGGAGTGAGTGAGTGAAGCATGGCCAGGAAGCCAGCTCGGTTGGAGGAGCCAGAGCAAGGCAGGAAACAGAGTAGTCAAGGTCCTATATCCTGGAGGGCAGTGGTGGTAAAGTCAAGACTTTTATTTGGAGAAATGGGAAGCCTTTGCAGGATTCTGAATGGAGGAGGGTCATGATCTGTTTATAGTTTGAAGGACCCCCCCCCAGCTGCCACATGGAAAAAAGATGGGAGGGGTAGAAGCAGGGAGACCATTGCAGGGCTGATGCAGGGATGCAGGCCAGATGGTGGGGCTCAGGCAAAGGTTGTTGCGTTGAAGGTAGTGGGAAGTGGGCAGATTCTGGATATATAAAATTATTTTTAAAGTTCAAACTTTTTTATTTTTTTAAGATTTTATTTTTAAGTAATCTCCACACCCAACGTGGGGTTCAAACTACAACCCTGATATCAAGAGTCAGGTGTTCTGACTCAGCCAGCCAGTCACCCCATTAAATTTCAATCTTTTTTAAAGATAGGAGTCTTTGTATAGTTTTAATCATGCAACATATACAATTTAATGTCTTGTTTTTCACTTAATAGTATATCACATTTTCCATGTTGGTACATGGCCTGAATAAATTTTTAATGACAAAATTGCATTGAGGAGTGTCCCACAGTTTATTGTCCTATTAGGAGAACTTAGTATGTTCCCAATTATTCACTATTATTATTTGAATGATATTTTTATTTGCACTTTTTTTTCTGTATCTAAAATGTTCATTAGGGTAAATTCCCAGAAATGGATTTTAGATCAAAGACTTAAAGATAAAAATTTTTATTATGGAAAAACTCAAATCTACATAAAATTTGTGAGTAATAAAGTGAACTCCCAATTTCAATAATCCTCAGCATTTTAACAGTCTTGTTTCATTTACCATTCCATCCCCAAGTCCATGTACTAGAGTCTTTTAAAGAAAATTTGAATGTGTTTTGAAAGAAGAGCCAATAGAATTTGCTGACCCACTGAATGGAGGCTAGGAGGGAAACAGGGAAGTCCAGGATGCTCTAAGGTTTAGGGCCCAAGCAGTGGGAAGTTGTCCCTGATTTGCAGACTGACTTTGAAGGTGAGGCCACCTCCCTCCAAGTTCCAGGTGCTAATGGTGGTCCAAACAGCGTCAGAGTTGGTCTCCAGATGTTCCTTGGAGAGCTGGTTGACAAGGCAGAGTCCAGGGACCCACCCTCCTGAAGAATCAGAACATTTTGTGGGTAGTGCCCAGGTATCTGCATCTTTTTTTTTTTTTTTTTTTTTTTAAGATTTTATTTGAGAGAGAGAGCAAGCAGGGGGAGGAGCAGAGGAAGAGGGACAAGCAGACTCTGTGCTGAGCCCGGAGCCTGATGTGGGGCTCGATCCTACAACCCTGAGGTCACGACCTGAGCGGAAATCAGGAGTCAGACAACTAACTGAGCCCCCCAGGCACCCCCAGGTATCTGCATTTTAAGAAGCACCTACAAGTGATTTTGATGCCCAGTGGCCCAAGACCTACTTATGTTGTAGGAGTAGGACCAGCAGTAGGACTCCTCAGGCCAGCAGCATCAACATCACCTGGGGCAGCTTGTTAGAAAGGCAGACTCCCAGGCCCCACCCCAGGCCTGCTGAGTCAGAAACCCTGGGATGTGGCCCAGGAATATTTTAACACTCTCTCCAGGAGCTAAAGTTTGTGCAACACTATGCACTGTGATCAGCCAACAAGCGTTCAGGGAGCAGGGAGGGCCTTCTCTGCAGGTCCCGCCCCGGCAAGCCTTGAAGGTTCCTCCAACTGTAGTCAGTGGGGTAGCTTGAGGTACCTGGTAGTGTTCAGTTTGGTTTGTAACATTTTTTTTTTCTCTTACTGTGCGTTGGGGGAAATGTAGAACTAGACAGAATTTGATTTAATGGATTTCACTGTTTTAGGATGGGACCGATTTTATATAAGTAAAACAATGGGAATCACATTTTCAAAAAATGGAAGTAACTACCAGTAGAGGTGGGTTATATATTAGGCAGAAATGGAGAAGCTGGTATTCAAAGGAACCAAAGCTGGGAAACACTATCCTGATACATCATAGATCCTTCAGAAACACGCATCGGAGGGGAGAGGAGGGGAGAAAGAAAAAAAAAAAAGGAGAGAAGAGATAGAGGGAGGAAGGAAGAAGTGAGCTCTCATTTCTGTGTTCCGATCACTTCAAAAAAGCTTAGTGAATAGTAAGATTTCCCTGGCCCGAAATCAAGGTCCCTTTTCCTCCTCCGTTTTCTCTCTTTCATTAGTGGAGTTGACAGAAAACAAAAACAAAAACAAAAAACCATAGCCTGAAGGCAAATCCTGCACTCTGGATCATGTCAGAATTAATTCAAATTATTACTTGAAAGCTGGTTTATTTCAGGGTTGAGACGTTTACCCTGAAATAACATTATTTAAGGACAAGCAGGTTTGGTTTGTTTTTACATCTAATCCTTTACTGATCATCAGCTCAGGACACCAAGCCCAACCAGGTAAACAGCAAGAGGGACATGGAGAGGGACAAAAGGCATTCCCCAGAAACTGCCTCCTTCCCCAAGTAGAGTGATTCAGCAGAAGTGAGGAACAGTGCCCACCCAGGGGTGGCAGAGGAGGAGACTGGGAGGATGCCCCATCCCTCTCTGA